ATGGCTTCCCGCTTCCTGAAACGAATGACAACAGCATCACATCACAGACAGACACACACATTGATGACGAACACACAGTGAACATCCGCGTTTTAAGGCCTGTTCTGATTTTTCCGACTCTTTTGGAGCAGGTAGATGAATTTAATTTGATGGGGATTCCACTAAAGCCAGTCCAAGACACAGTTGCTCTAACTTGCGTGTGATCAGCAGCCAAATATGCTCATTTTAATTGGAAGTGATGACAAATCCGTGCACGAGAGCAGCTGTTAGCTGAAATATTTACAGGAAAGGCATCTTTGTAAGATTTATGTAGGGAGTTTTAGTCCTGACCTATGGGAGCAGCATATGGTCTGTACTTAAATGCTAAGTGCTCTGCACTCATATGGAACCTTTTAACCTTATCTGTTCCACAAAGGGCTTTACAGTGGGTCGCTAATTCACTCATTCATCCATTCACTCGACCACCTGAGCCGCAGCCACGTCAGTGTAACAATATAAGGGCAAAAATCCACTTGCTAGCTTTCAGGATCATTTAGTAACACATCATGGTCTTCTTTAGTGAAATATGCTCACTTAGTGGTCACGAAGAAGCAAACTCATCACTCACAGAAAACTTGAGTTCTTCTAGTGGCCCACTGGGGCTCAGCCCCCACAGACCTGATGTTAGAGTGCCCAAGTCTACAGTAGAAATAATCATGTTTACAGCCTGCTATAAGAACAGTTTCAGTCTGTAGCTGAACAGGATTTTTATATAATCGTCATGGTTAAACGCTAACAAAGTTCTGCATTATTAGGAGCATGGCTGTCTGGAAGCCCTTGCCTTTGTTATTTATGTGACAAATATTATAGTTTTAACTGTACTAACAGCCTGGCCAGTCATTTTATGTATTTATTTGCTGCAAAATGAGATTGTCAAGCATAACAACATGCTCTAAATCCTGCCTTAAATGTTGCCATAAGACGGAGTGGGTCTGTGATGGAATAGGGTCGATTTGGCAATTAGATACGATTGGTTTCTGATTATTCAACAGTTGACTCTGATAAATCTGTTGTCTACATAGGTGGAAATTCACATTCAATTATTACTTCTGCACTGAGCAGCTTTCCTTGTTCTATATATAACCAAAATACAATCACCTCTGGCTATCAGCTGAGTTGAGTCCCCTCCAGTTGTGCTCTTTGCAAAGACTCATTCAGACTTATAGGAACATGGAAGAAACTGGTGGGCAACACTGCAGTGACTATATCTGAGTTACAGTCAAGATTTCATTCATTCATTCATTCATTTTCTTGACCGTTTGTCTAATTCAGGGTCAAGGTTCGGCTGGAGCCTGGGTGTCATAGAGGTAGAGGCGGAGTATATCCCGTAGCCAGTACACCAGTCTGTCACAGGGCTAACATATAGAGACAGACCAACCATTCACGCTCACATTCACACTAACAGTCAATCAACAGTTAACCTAACATACAGTGGGGCAAAAAAGTATTTAGTCAGCCACCGATTGTGCAAGTTCCCCCACTTAAAATGATGACAGAGGTCAGTAATTTGCACCAGAGGTACACTTCAACTGTGAGAGACAGAATGTGAAAAAAAAATCCATGAATCCACATGGTAGGATTTGTAAAGAATTTATTCGTAAATTAGGGTGGAAAATAAGTATTTGGTCACCTCAAACAAGGAAAATCTCTGGCTCTCACAGACCTGTAACGTCTTCTGTAAGAAGCTTTTCTGTCCCCCACTCGTTACCTGTATGAATGGCACCTGTTTGAACTCATCATCTGTATAAAAGACACCTGTCCACAGCCTCAAACAGTCAGACTCCAAACTCCGCCATGGCCAAGACCAAAGAGCTTTCGAAGGACACCAGGAAAAGTATTGTAGACCTGCACCAGACTGGGAAGAGTGAATCTACAATAGGCAAGCAGCTTGGTGTGAAGAAATCAACTGTGGGAGCAATCATCAGAAAATGGAAGACATACAAGACCACTGATAATCTCCCTCGATCTGGGGCTCCACGCAAGATCTCATCCCGTGGGGTCAAAATGATCATGAGAACGGTGAGCAAAGATCCCAGAACCACACGGGGGGACCTGGTGAATGACCTGCAGAGAGCTGGGACCAAAGTAACAAAGGTCACCATCAGTAACACACTACAACGGCAGGGAATCAAATCCCGCAGTGCCAGACGTGTTCCGCTGCTGAAGCCAGTGCATGTCCAGGCCCGTCTGAAGTTTGCCAGAGAGCACATGGATGATACAGCAGAGGATTGGGAGAATGTCATGTGGTCAGATGAAACCAAAGTAGAACTTTTTGGTATAAACTCAACTCGTCGTGTTTGGAGGAAGAAGAATACTGAGTTGCATCCCAAGAACACCATACCTACTGTGAAGCATGGGGGTGGAAACATCATGCTATGGGGCTGTTTTTCTGCCAAGGGGACAGGACGACTGATCCGTGTTAAGGACAGAATGAATGGGGCCATGTATCGTGAGATTTTGAGCCAAAACCTCCTTCCATCAGTGAGAACTTTGAAGATGAAACGAGGCTGGGTCTTCCAACATGACAATGATCCAAAACACACCGCCCGGGCAACAAAGGAGTGGCTCCGTAAGAAGCATTTGAAAGTCCTGGAGTGGCCTAGCCAGTCTCCAGACCTCAACCCCATAGAAAATCTGTGGCGGGAGTTGAAAGTCCGTGTTGCTCGGCGACAGCCCCAAAACATCACTGCTCTCGAGAAGATCTGCATGGAGGAATGGGCCAAAATACCAGCTACTGTGTGTGCAAACCTGGTAAAGACCTATAGTAAACGTTTGACCTCTGTTATTGCCAACAAAGGTTATGTTACAAAGTATTGAGTTGTATTTTTGTTATTGACCAAATACTTATTTTCCACCCTGATTTACGAATAAATTCTTTACAAATCCTACCATGTGGATTCATGGATTTTTTTTTCACATTCTGTCTCTCACAGTTGAAGTGTACCTCTGGTGCAAATTACTGACCTCTGTCATCATTTTAGGTGGGGGAACTTGCACAATCGGTGGCTGACTAAATACTTTTTTGCCCCACTGTAGCTTGCATGAACCCACAAAGGCACAGAAAGAACAGGCAGACACAACACAATAAGCACAATCTAAAACCTGAAGGCGCATTTATTATATTTCTTACAGGGCTTTTACCTGCAGCGGGTGGACGTTATTCGGTCTCTGAGATTGCTTAGTTGTCATCTAACAGGCGGTTGATAACAGGCAGTCGTTTTGTCTGTTGTCATAATCAAAGCTCTTCAGAGAAAAATGGCAAAAATGGTTCATTCATAGATGTCATTTTAAAATAAAAAGGGACCCTTTGAATGTTTCACAGCTAGATGAACCAGCTTTTTCTCACGGGAAGTAGTTTTCAGGGCCTGAAGTCATGTTTGAGTTCAGTTTTGAAGATTGTAACTCTCTGAATATTTCAGAACGCCTAGCCCCAGCTCTCACTTTTAATAGATGTATTTTTTTTTGTTCGTTTTAGGGCTGACTTTCTCCTCATTGCATAAGCCTGACCGCATAACCAGGATACAGTCTTTCACAAATGCATGCTCACATATGCCGTCTGACAAACACCCCCCTCCACACGCGCACAAATACCCATTTAAAGGTAACTCCCTGAAGAAGCAGAAAGCATTTGGGCAGGAAGCAGAAAGTTTTCTTTGCAAAGTGAAGTGTATCATTTACAAACCATGTAGTCCCAGGTGGTGGAGTCTGGGTTGTGATTGAACTTGGCTCAAAAAAACCTCAAAGCAAGTTTTTTTTGAGAGCAAGTTTTAAAATAAAAGCTCATTAAATGGTACTAACAGAAACAAATAGTACTGAGATGGGAAACCTAAAACCATTGTGTGTTTTTAAACACTGGAAAGATGGCCTCCCTGAATATATGCTCAATTAATGAATCCCATGTGGAATCGACAAGCATGTTTGCATATATTAGAAAAAGACAGGTGAATTGGTTACTCACTACTAATCCCAAAAGAGGCATGGTGAGCATCAAAATGAGTTAGCATTTTGAGCTAATGGTAGAATTCACGCCTGTAGTAATAGTTAGATGAGTATCTGGCAAATGTGAAGCTCTGGCCAGCCTTAACATTTAAAGCCAATCCTCTGTTTGTTAGTATTTTGGGAATAAGAGTATCAACTTACCACTCGGTGTTTTTCCAATCTTCTGTTGTCCAATTTTGTTGAGCCCGTGTGGACGGTAGCTTCATTTTCCTGTTGTCAGTTAACAGCAGTGGCATCCAGTGTGGTCTTCTGCTGCTTAAATTTTCATTTCCTCTGCATACCTTGGCAGAAGAGCATTACTTGTAATTAGCTTATTAGATATTAATGAGCATTTGAGCTGGTGTACCTAATAAAGCGTACTGTCACATGGGTTGTTTTTCTACTCCTGGATCTTTATGCGTTAATAAACAGTTGATATCTGTAATGTATGTTCTCAGGCATAGACTATCCTTGCTGTACAACAGGCCCGCCAACCTGCTGTTCAAACCTACTGTTTGTGAGTGACAGCCAATGAGAAGAACATGACTCAAAGCGAGAGCAGCTCTAAAAGGTAGCTGAACCGAAGCCCAGAATAAGAAAAATTGGGATTATCTTGAAGTGTGAATTATGCAAAGCCACTCAAATCAAGTCAAAGTTAAAAGTTTGGAGTTGAAAATGAGCCAAATAGGTTCTTTTCAAGCTAAGCTAACCAGCTCCAGGCCTCAGCTTCATCAATAATACACAGGCATGAAAGTAGTATCAATCTTCTCTTTGAGCTGTCTGCAAGAAAGTGAATTAAAATACAGCATTTTTTTTCAGCTGTAACTTTACTTCAAAACTGAACTCTTACTGAATTGAGTCGGATCCAAAAACAAGAATATATGAAGAACTGAGAAGATAAATGGAAAAATCAAATCTACAGTGTGACTTGCATCAACGTTTAAATGGGTGATGTTGTATGTTTCTCACTCTCTGTCTATCAGGGTTACCTGCCAGCCAACGCAGAGAGGAGGGAAAGCGTTCTACAGAGGAAGAGGCAAGAATATTTCGGCTTCATCCAGCAATACTACGACTCTCGCAATGATGAGCATCATCAAGACACATACAGACAGGTACATGCATATACACGAGCCCACACATCTCGTATGCCTATAGTTTTCTGAATCCCCCAACTTGAGGGACAGAATGAATGAAAGTCTCCAGAAAGACTCTTTCCAATTACAAGAGCATCCTCCCGTTGCCAATGTATTAGCTCAGCATGAATTTAGGACACAAACAGTGTAAGCGTTTGTTTGTTTGTGTATATATATGTGTGTGTGTGTGTGTGTGTGTGTGTGTGTGTAAAGAGTGCCTTTTTACAGAATTTGGCCCTGCAGTCAGGATTACCGCCACTAGTTATTTGGCAAAAATGTGATCTTTATTGCATTTTTTCCCCCCCTTGCTTGTGTTCCTTTGTTCTCTCGTCCTTCTCCCTCATGTACTCGTCTGATTGTTTGTTCGTCTGTGTGTGTCTGTGTCACAGACCAGAGACGAGCGGCTTCAGAGAGATACTGAAATTAACAGTATTCTGTTTGGTTCTGAAAATATCCATTTTTACCCCCCACCACCACCACCACACACACACACACCCACCATCCCCTCGTTCTTACACTCGACTACTTCCCATTCATTTTGAGCCGATAAGGAACATCAAAGTGAACTGTCGATAGCAAAAACACACATTTCTCACATTCCGTCCAATTTCCCATTGATCTCCTCTGCACCGTGCCAGGGAGCTGGCATACTTTGTTTTGATGATTGTTTGGATTGTGTCTTGAAGCCTCCTTTTTCTGCCAGATTCTACTTGTGCTTTAGTGATTTCTAGTTTGTTTGTTTGTTTATTTATTTTTGCTGTGTGCCTGATTATGTGTGTTTGTACATATGTTACTTTGGCATTCATGTTGCTCAGGATGGTGGGTTCGTATTGGGTTTCTGTATTTTTCTTTCTTTTCTTTTTTGATTTTTTTATACATATTTACGTGGTTGTATGTGTGTTTACATACAGTACTCAACAGATCGGAAGACGCCCCTGTGCGGTTTTGCTTATTGTAAATAAGACTGGATGAAATAAGTACAGAAGTAAAATAAAATGAGATAAAAAGTAGCTTACTGTATGTAATAGAAAACAAAGTGGTGCTATATGCAGTGTGTAAAGTGCAGTGTTTGAGATGAGAATGCATATTCTCTGTTGCACAGACGTGTTCATTTGACATCATTTGAAACTGTGCGATCTCTAAATAGCTGCATTTTTTAAGTAGATCATTTCCTCTTATGAAGAGTCGAAAACAAAGACTTTAAAAACAATACAGTGAAAAGAAAGACCCCCAAAGTAGAAACTCAGTTCAGCAAAATTAAATACCCATGTTAATCACAGTTTTGCTAAAAAGCAAAGACTTAAAATAAACTGAAGTGATCAAGAACTTTCTTCATGTTGAATCTCCGTGTCTGCATCATAGCTCCACGCGGAGAAGAACTGCCCGAGGAGCTAGAAATGCATTTATTGTGAGAATTCTCCCACATGTTAAGCATACAGGAATATCAGTGACCAACCATAAATGAGTCGAAATGAGACGGCTGCAGAAGTAATCAAAAGGTATAGCACGAGTGTCAGACTCAATTTTACTAAGGTTCACGCCAGGAAATGGGGATCACACCAAGGGTCAGGCATATGCAGTTTAATGACATGGTTTAATTTAATCCACAAAATAACATCCCACGTAATGTTGTATATCCCAAAAGTCTGTCTTACATGCAATTTGGTTCACATAAAGGCTTCAACAAAACATCTGCAAGTTTCCCAGCTGTTAGTGTTTAATGTAGCAAAATACTGCAATAAACCGCAGTCGGTAAACTTTGCAGAAATAAGACAGCTACTGAAAGTATCGGGCATAGGAAAAGACATCATATTTAATTATCCATATTTAATTTGTTTTTTGAAATATTTCTAAAGGTTTTCAACAGTCTGTTATGAGGTGGGCACCGCATCACTGTGCAGATGTATTTGCATGTAGGCAGGCCAGAATTTGAGCACCGAATGTGGGTTAAGATACATAGCTGCAAAGGGGCTCGGACCTTAAGTTTGGGCAAGTACTTCAGATTTGGCTCAGGGTTTATCCATGGAAAGAGTGTTTCTGTGGTAGCTCAGACAGTGTAAAGGACAGTTTGTAATGTCAGCCTGTTCGAACAACTTAAAAAAGAAAAGAAAAAAACCCGGTGTAGACTTTAAAAAAGAAGCACAAAGAGGAAATTTATTTTGGCTCGCGCGCGGTTCAGCAGGACCACTACAGTGAATGCATAGTCCCGACAGTGAAGCACAGACAGCGCAGGGGTGTGATGATTTGGAGCTAGTTGAGTGCAAAAGGGAGATGACATTTATAGATGGGACCATCAATGCCTGTGAATTTAACAAAATACTGGCTGACAACATGAGAAATACTGCAGCGTGATGGCGATCCAAATCACGCTGCCAAAAGCACAAGAAGAAGGAACACTAGGAGGTTCATTTGCTTCACTGAGTTTCTACTCTGTGGCCTGCAATTATTAATATAGTAAGTCTGTGTAGTCTTTATTTTGTAAAGAGAAAGTGGGTCTACTGTTCAAGTATGTCATTAATTTTAAGTGATATCACACAGGGCTCCGCTCATTTCTGTTACATGTCATCCTTGTGTTTGTGTGTCCATCATCCATTCTGAATGTCCGTCTGTTTCGAGGTTGTTCTTTTGTCTCTTTTATATTTTTGTTTATGTTCCTTGTAAGTGTGTGTGTGTGTGTGTGTGTGTGTGTGTGTGTGTGTGTGTGTGCATACGGATGTCCCAGCTTGAACTGCAAACCCTTTTGATGTACTGCAGCAGTTTCATTCTTCCCCAGGAGAAAGTGATCTAAAAAAAATCTAGCTTTGGTCTTTTTTTGTTATTTTTCAAGCAAGCAGAGAAGAGTGTTGTGTGGAGATGGCATTTTGTTGGTTTATTTCTGATGCATTAAAAATATTTGGACCACTAGAGGATGAAAATACCGACCCTTCATTTACGATGGCCTTATCAATTACAAAATGTCAAATGTCAAAATACAATTTTAAAACAGTGAGCTGAATGCTACTGGAACTTACATAGAGAATTATTATATTCTCAAAGAGACCACCTCGTCCTGCTTCATGGGAAATACCACAACTTCCCATTTTAAAGTGGCCTTGAATACTTTTAGCTTATTTTCTGTCATATATTCTATGAAAATGGTGCACGCTCATATTAAACCAACAAAGAGACAAGCCAGACCTCTAAAAACGTCCTCGCTCGATGTAGAAACATCACTATATGTAGAAGTCATCCCTGTGAGCCAAATGCTCAAAATTCTTCTTATTACTGCTCTTGACTATGTATGCTATCAAGACAGAAGATGTGTAAATTATTTGGCGTCTGAGGCCCCACCCATCTTTTGCTCAAACCTTCTGTTTGTGAGGGGCAGCCACTAGCTAGAGTGGCTTGTTGAAAACAGTGGATGAACTGATACACTATAAGACAAATAAGGATTATAAGTAATCATGCAAAGCTACCCTATACATTCCAACATATAATATAGAACTGGGCGTGAGTGTAATAACTCCACTTGATGTCCTTTGTCATTTCTTTATAACGCCTGAAAAAGTCTGAAAATGCAGTACATGTGGAGGACGTTTATATTGTGTTTGTGTTTGTGTTTATGTGTGTGTGTCCGTGTGTGTCTAACACATTCTCTCCCATGTTGCTGTCAGATCCACATAGACATTCCTAGGATGAGTCCTGAATCTTTGGTGCTGCAGCCAAAGGTGACAGAGGTAAGGTGGACTGGATGTGGACCCAATGCCCAGTCCAGTAACCAGCCGCGCACTCTTACAAACAGACCGGGCTATTTCAGTTGGCTTGGCTCCAGCTGCCGCCCTGCATCCGCCTGGCTCCCTTCTGATGAATCTGTCCGCCTGTCGTATCGGTCGTCTGCGGGGTAAACACTCTGAAATGGTGTAAATGTGGTCTCGTACATGCATAAACGCACACACACACACACACACACATTGATGCAAGCACATATTATCGTAGAGGCATCTCAGCATGCAAGGGCACTCATATGCAGTGCTGCATTCAAGACCACAGCTGCTATCCATTTCAGAAAACTGAAACCCCAGTCCGACTTCAATCAAAGACACCAATCCACTAACTGTTCCTCTCGCTATCCGTTCCTGTCACTGTCTGTAATGGCCAAATCTGTGCTAACCTGCCCGTTGCTTCAGTGTTTGTCTTTTTTTTTTCTCTCCTTCTCTCTGCAGATTCACATTGACATACCGAGAACTAATCCTCTTATTCCTCTCTTTCAACAAGCTTCTGTTCAAGAGGTGAGACCCCTCCAGCTGCACACACACCACCTCACCTAGCAGGGTTTTCCCTTTTCTGCTTTTAGGCAGATTTGGAATCAGAGGCACTGATGATGTTGGACACCTTAAAGACAGAACATGTGAGATGGCTTACAAAGAGGGGAAAAACATGACAATAGTTAAAACGATATAGGTCGAAAAAATGGGGCACAAACTGTGAAGAGTAGTTGAGTGTTAGAGTAAAAATACCGTCTCAACTCAAGTCTCAGTATCTTGATTTATTTACTTACTTTATTTAATGTTTTTCTATCTGCCTGCGAGTGTAAAATGGGAAGACCCTTGCTTAAGCACTGCATGATTTGGCATGGGGCACATACACAGCTGCTCAAGCAAAGAACACACATGATTTTAATAATTACATGCATGGGATTAGATCCCTTTTAACTTTCACTCTGCATGGTTGGCAGTTTCATATCTTTTTGTTGTGCTTCGTTAGTTCTACTGAAGCATTTCTTATTACAGTTGGGTGCTCTGTTATGGCCGATATAAGAAGTCATTTTCTTCAAAACATCTTGAGCATTATGTTTGAAACATTGAACTATTAGTCACAGTTGTGCACATTGGACAATATGGTTAAAAGCTAGGAAAACTCATAAGCACCTTTTTTCTCATGGTGATCAGTAGAAATGCATAAACAATACTTTAAAGGCATTTGTTTCTCACACAGAGCTGCTGCGCTTTTACATATTTTATCATACGTATACAATTAATATCAGCTGATTTCACTCAGATCGGGTTTGCTCAGTTTCTCTGTTGATGGGTAAATGCAGATTGTAGCTACTTAATATGAATCAGTATCACTTTAAGTCTACATATACTGTGTATTGGATGTTTTTGTAATGTTCATTAAAAAAACAACTTTTCCAACCTGTCATTACACTCTATTAGTTCAATTCACTTGAATTGAGTTATGTTCATATAGCCACAAATCACAACAATAGTCACCTTGAGATGCTTCCGAAGAACCTACAATAATCAATACTGATTTTACCTTAAAAAAATACAGTTTTAATTAATAGATTTTTTTTGGCTTACTAGGTAATTTGTATTAAATGTGTGCAGATGGTTTAGTTGGCTCAGAAGTAATGTGTTAACACTCATAAGTTACACAAAGTGACAAAGTTGTCGTAACCACAAATCAGTGGTTTTTCTTGACAATAGTGATTTCACATGTAATTTAATAGTTATATCAATGAAGACATTTAAAATCTGATTGATTTGTTGTCTCCCTTCAGAATGTCACACTTCAATAAACATAAAGTGTAAAGCCAGAATAGGGTCGGGGCTGTGTGAGAAACTATAAGCCAGGTTATGGCTTGAAACCTTTAACTATCTACTCATTGTAAGTTACAGAATAACTTGAAATAATGCAAGTATGGTTAGTGGTCTTTTAGCTATGAAATTCTTGTAAGAAGTTACTCCACTGGTCTGAGGGACTATCAGTGCAGCATCCCAGTGCAACTTAACATGGACATTAACCTGATTCCATTCATTTATATTGGGTTAAGCTTATCTTATTATTCTAGTGCTTCAGGGATGGCCTGTCATGAGTAGAACCACTGGCCTGAGAAGCAGAGAAGTGAAAACACAGATAGAAAACTCCATAATGAGGTGGAGGCTAATGAGGTGCCCAGGGCTCCGAGCTGCTTTGTGTGTATACCTGCACAAAGGTGCGAGGAAGCACGCACATACACACTCAGACATCCATACAACATAGTGGGATTTTTGCATTTAGGTGAAAATCTGGTTGATCTTCATTGAACACATGAAGTAATCAATCACAATGCAGACTAGAAAAAATTAACAGAACCTCTGTCCTAAAGCTTGGAATCACACCAAGAACAAAGTCTGTAAATTTAAAGAAAACATAAGGATCCAAAGTTAACAGCAAAATACAAGCAGAAATCTCTAAGTTACTAAAACCTTTGTTCACGTGTCCACTTAAACAAAAACCCACCCAATAAGAATGTGTTCATGGAAAAGTAGCACAAAGGAAAACACGGATCTTCAAGAAAGAAATGATGGGTCACAATGTTTATTATTATTATTTATTTATTTTTATTTTGCAAAAGACCACTTGATGTTTCACAAGAGTCAAGTTGGCGGCAGGTCTAGTAATGTCTTGACTTTTGTTAAAAATAAGTCTTAGTATGTATTAAAGTGTTTGAAACTCTGTTTTCTGCATTTCAGCACCTTATATGACTACACTGCTGAGGTCATAATATTTTTGTAACACGCTAAACTCAACTGTTGCTATAGCTGGGGAACATAAAGGGACAGTTATCAGCAGAATAACATACAAGATTACGAGAAAAGAAATCGTGTCATGTGTAGGTTTTTGTTGTTGTTGTTGTTGTTGTTGTTGTTGTTGTATCAATCCAACTGATAGGATTGATATTTTGATTTAAAAGTCCGACATCTCAGCCGATGCGTTCGTTCTTTCAGACACAAACATAGGCAGATTTTCCTAACATTTGTTAAGAGTGGTTTCTTATTTCCTCATTTACGATCTCCCCGACAGTGCGGGGATCATCTGGTTGTTATAATTGTGGCGTTCTTAACAGGGATGTTGCCAACAGGGAATTTGCAGAGTGCCCTCTGGTGGATAAACCATGCAACATCAACACTCATATGGTTAATTAACTTTTTACCATTTTATTCATATATGTAGTAAAAACAGTAATCATGCCAATAATATACTTTAGCAACTTATGGTTACTTATGTCCGTAAAACGTTTAAAATCCCAAATTCCCCAATGGTTATGCCTCATTTTTCTCAGCCAAATAGCTTTGCTTTAATTATCATGGTGACTGATGCCAGAATGCTTACAAAGAGTGTATTTTCACTTTTTCACATATCTGAAGTCTGGTGCTAAACAAATTTTGAGAGGTAATTAACTTCTTCATACCTATAGGACAGACGTAGAACAATGATCTTATGCCACAATGTGCAATGTTGTGTTAAAAAATAAAACAAAACGCCAAAAATAAGTCAAAATATTTCACACCAATACCAAAACTTTTATCCACACAGTGAAACATGGTGGAGGGAGCATCATGGTTTGGGTCTGCTGTCCTGCCTCTGGTTGCTTTCCAGTCAGTAGGGGAATAATGAATTCAGAATTTTTTCAGGCTTTACTTAGTAGATAAGTAGATTAAACTTAGAAAAGAAGAAAGGTAATATCTTGGAATGGTCAAATCAAGAAGGCTGCTCAGTTATCCAAAGAAAGATGGATGCACTGAAACACTCCTGCAGGAAAAAGCGTTTCTAAAAGCCTCCTGTTGCATTTGTTTACTGCTGAAAGAGGTTGCACGAGGTGCTGCTCCTATCTGGCCTCCACTGCACGTGACTGCTAATGCAAAAATCAGATTGTGTATTTTGTTTAGTCAGACTGCTGTGACTTACATGAAGACTTATGTTAATTCCAAACTTTCTCTTGTACCTGTAAGTGAAAGAAAATGACGAGGGTTGCTGTCATTCAGGAGTGCACAGACCTATAATATGTGCAAACACTTGAATACATACGCACGTTGCCCCAGGCAGTGCCACCTCCCATTGCCCCTGTTTTGTACAGGATACATGTCGAGGCTGTAAGCAGGGAGCTTAGCGTGGAAATGAGATCAGACAAGGAGGAGGCTGGGTGCTTGTTTTCTACCAAGTATCTTATCTACAGTATGCACTATTACTTCATCTGATGTTTGTATTTTTCCTTTTACCTCCATTTCCCCTCTCCCAGATCCCATGTTTTTCTCCCTCTCATCCCCACACATCAGCTCTTCCCGCTTACGTGCTAAATAAAAGCCACCAGCATACACTGAAATATTCAAGCAGTGTGCTCCTCATATATTTTGGTATGCAACAGACTCCCAAGGCCCCCCTCCCTTTTTTTATTTTATTTTATATGGTTATGCTTGCTGCGGTGCCACCTGAAAATCACCTCTGCTTCATTTCATTCACTTGTTTGTCTCTGGGGCTCCGGAGATTTAGTCAAGATGGAAGGCAGTCAACAGTCTGTTCCATTTCAGGGAGAGAGGGATATTGAAGCAATTCTGCAGTGATTTCCTAAGTGGTATCTAAAGCGTTGGAGTTTTTCTTGTTTTCGAGTACAATATTGTCTTCAGGAGATGTTGATAATCAGCAATTACAAGATTCAAATGTGTTGTGTTTTGCATACAATTTGTGATTACAGGCTAAAAGAGCAGGATTTATCACTCAGCACAGTATGAGCCTTATACCACAAGCTTTTTTCATTTTAGTCTTTGCATAACAAATAGGTATGATGTAAGCGACTCGTATAGTTATTGTAGGATATTTAATAGACTAATGTTTTGAATGTGGGACAGCCCTTTTCCCCCAAAATCTGGACAAGACATCAATGAACATTTTCTTGAGTTGACACCTTTCTTGTAACAATTTCTTTTTTATCTCTGGAGATTATCCTTATCTGGGTCTTGGGGGACTGGAGCTAATGGAATTGAACAATAGTTTTTTGACAAAGGAGACAGAAAAGCTGATTTTGTGACACCCCCCCCTAAAAAAATAGCCTCTATTATTAGGAGAATCTGAAGTTAAACTGGACTTCTCCAAATGAAGTTAATGTTATCTTCTCCTGAAGAAAATATTCAGTTGCAGCTGCGCTTTCTCTCGCTTTCATATACAAATGATGCCACAGACAAACATACAGAGTTTAGAGTCTTTGTCCTCACAGTAAAACGGCTGCGGACCGGGTAGTTTTTGTGTGCATGAGTTCACTCAAAGCGGTTGCCAATGTGAAATATGCATGTCTGCTTTTGAGGCTGCATGAAAAGACAGTCCCATTACCCACTCCCCTTGCTCTCACCAGCACCTCTCCTGTGTTTGATGGATGCAGCTTTGATAGGGAAAGAGGTGGTGTGAGGTGTGGAGGAGAAAGCCAGGGAGAGCTTACCATTCTCTTCCACTGTCTTAGCAATGATGGAATTACTTTAAATAAAAAGGCGAGGGTTTTGTGGAGACACTTCCCAGTAAAAACACAAACAAAAAACCCATTACCATGACCATGTTATATACCATAAAACAATGAGGTATGAGGTTATTTAGAAAGTGACAGAAACCTGACATGGTCACCAAAACATAAGGGCTTGATGGGTGCGGTACATCAAGGTGTAAGAAAAATGTGTTTCTGTCTTCGTATTTTGGAGGGAAATCCATTTGCACAACAGAAAAAAACCAAGCTAAACATCAAGCCTCTTCTAATTCACTGGGGCTGACAGTATTAAACAGCCACCCATAACAAAGATGGAAGTGTTTGCCTTGCAAAAAAAAAATGTTGAAAAGAAGGGAAAGAGAAGGAGATGGAGGAGACTGACTCAAAGGGGAAGAGGAAGAGACAGAGACAAAGTGAGGAGGGAGGAGACCAACACCAGAATCAGAGAACAAAGTTCAAAGTGAGTTGTTTTTTTTTAAGAACAAGAAATACAGCTGAGGAGCTAAAGACTGAGGTGTTGCTCAGTGATGATGGAGAGCCAAAGAAATGGTTCATATTAACTGTGGATGTAGTGGCAGGCCGATATTATATAATTGCTAATTGTAGATGTATCGGCATTGGCAGTAGAGAAGAAACATAGGATGTAGAAACATCCTATTGCCATTTTATGAGTTTTGATGTCACATAGTTTGTTCGCCAAAGCAGTGTTGGTGTTTTCACTGTTGACAACACGTTTGTTTTTCAATTGCCAAAAACATAACCAATTGATCTAAGCAGATTCAGGTGGACATCTCCAAATATTGTTATTGGTATCGGCCTCAAAAATTCAGTATCGCTCAAGCTCTACGTTAAACTATGTGACTGTGTCAGCTGACTATAGTGCTGTCTAACTAGCTTGGCCAATGAGGTGCATCTTTTGTCCCTTTGCTACTTAGGTTGCAAACAAAATAACTGGGGCCTTAAGCCAAACACTGCAGATGGAAATTAGCCCAAGGCTACAATCTGGCATATTTACATTTGTTAAAATGTTCATTAATATGTATTGTCCCTCTTTCTAAATAAAATCAAATCATTTAGCCAAAAACTGACCAGCTGACAGCTGAGGTTGAGTGACTTTCAGTGCACCTGAACGAGGGAGGGGCGGATGTGACTGAAAAACAGATGACAGTAATCTGCTGGGTTCCACCCCGCTCTGAACCTTGTTCTGCTGGAGGTTTCTTCCTGTTAAAAGGGAGTTTTCCCTTCCCACTGTCGCCAAAGTGCTGCTCATAAGAGGTCATATGATGGGATTTTCTCTGTATGTGTTATTGTAGGTCTACCTTGCGATATAAAGTGCCTTGAAGCAACTGTTGTTGTGATTTGGCGCTGTATAAATAAAATTGAATTGAACTGAATGCGTCTTAAAGCAGCCATCGCGTTATTGTCTTTTTCTAAATTGGACCATTAGCTACAAAATGAACATCGTTTTGTATCAGATGAGACTAGAAACGAATGATCCAGATCATAAACTCATCAGGAACGTGTCAGCCCCCCCACCCCACCCCCCTTTTGCTGGGCATTGGAAAGAATTTAGGTTGACAATTATGAGTCTGATTCACTTTTCAGAACTGGATGCTACATCCATAATTAATATGGAGTGTATGTGCATGACCGCCTGTAGATCTGCTGGATTATGCTTTTGTAAAAGAAACCAAACAAAAGGAAAAAAATATGCTACAAGTGATCAAAAGTCCCCAGGCTACCTTTAGTTTTTCAAGAGATGGGTTTAAACAGTATTCCAAGTAGATGATCAGCTAATGTGGCAGAGTTGAAACCTGCTTCCCATGACATGAGCCCAGCTTTTCTTCTTTACCAGCTTAGCACACCTGAAATGATTCCTATGCTTTTTTTCCACACCTCACTCGCTTTCTGACATGTATGCTTTAATGATTTAAATCTCTAATTCCAACCAGCTTAATGTCTGAAATGTTGTCAATCATTGTGTTAAAAATTTCTACGACTATGTTGTTATTAGAGTGTTGGATTGAATCTTTTTCTTCTCTTTTCATGGCATTGGTACTCTGTCTCTGTGTATGTTTGTATGTCTTAAGATTTTTGAACGGATCCTGTTTATCTGGGCCATCCGGCATCCCGCTAGCGGCTACGTGCAAGGCATCAACGACCTGGTCACACCATTCTTCGTCGTTTTCGTCTTTGAATATATTGGTGAGTGGCAACCCCCCCCCTTTTGTTTTTTTTTTTAACTTTCACTTTAAAACTCCCTAATCTTTTGTGTGATATCCTTTTGAAGTAAGGATCACTCATCTCTTTCTGCTACCCCTCTGCTGAAAGTGCCACTCTCCACAGTGCAGAGTGGCACCTTTTGTAGCTGGCGAGACTCAGGGGTTACTCGCCGGTTCATCACCACAGGTCACAGGAAATCAACCCCGGGACCCTTGAGACCGTTTCTCTTTTCACAACTCTGTGTCCAAAGAGCTCCTCCTGCACCTGTGTGCCCTCTTCTCGCCCCTCTTTTCAATCCCTCTTTCTTTTCTGCTTTCATCCAGACACACACTTGGTTACAGTTTGTTTCTCGAATGTGCTTTTAAGCTCCATCTATCAAAGCATTCTGGTTAACACTTAGGAATTAGACTGTACAGTATGTGTGTGAGAGCATGACACGTGTAGGCGTGTATATGTGTGTGTGTGCACACCGCGCTGTTTTTCCCAGGGCCCTCCTGCTGTGAGCGTTTAAGTTGTGCCACATTTGTGTAGATGAATGCTTTATTTTCCTTTCACACTTAACTCTTCTGACAGTATAAACACTGCTTCAGATCCTCAACATGAGAAGGGGGAAAGCAGTTGCAAGAAATTTCATTGCCGGTATAGGTGCGATATAATTTTATTTTTTATTTATTGATTTATTTTTTGAATGTTTGAACTACTTGAAAATATGACCAGATGGAACTTCTTGCATATTATTTTTTGTAGCATTTTTTCCTTTGCTGCACTGTATGTACACTGTGAATTTAACTCAAATCATCTTTATTTATATAGCACCAATTCATAACCAGAGTTGGATATAGGCGCATTATATTGTAAGGTAAAGACCCTGCAAGGATAAATCCTTGACAATTAGAGCCATTAGGACTTGGAGGACTTGGAGACATTGGGAAGGAAAAACTCCCTTTTAACAGGAAAAAGCCCCAGCAGGACCATCCTGTGGGTTTGGGTGAGGGGTAGGCAACAATTTAACAATCCATCCATTCGCTTCTGCTCATCCTTTTCAGGGTTGCGGGGGGTGCTGGAGCCTATCCCAGCTGTCATAGGGCGGGAGGCGGGGTACACCCTGGACAGGTCGCCAGTCTGTCACAGGGCTAACACACAGAGACAGACAACCATTCGCGCTCACATTCACGTGCAAATTCACACCTATGGGCAATTTGGATTATCCTCACAAACTGCATGTCTTTGGACTGTGGGAGGAAGCCGGAGTACCCGGGGGAGAGAAAGACCCCGGCCTGATGGTGGAATTGAACTCAGGACCTTCTTGCTGTGCGGCAACAGTGCTAACCACCGTGCAGCCCTTGCAATTTAACAAGTTATTGTTAAATAGCAAGAAAGTGTTGGCAGCTACAGTTGTAAAACAATACTTACTGATATGTTACATGGAAGCTAACATAATATACAACAACAGTTTACTTCCCACCAGCACTGCAGACGTTCTTGTTGTTATTTTGATGGAAAGGGTCTTAAAATGTCCATCATATTGTAATTTTACCTGTCGTTTTAATCTTACATGATAATGAGGCAGGTTTAATAGCCTTATATTTTCAGAAAGAAAAAAACATTCTGAAAAGAGAATGTTTTTATATGTACGACGACCTTGTTAACATCCTAAGAAACACATTTTTTTTCCTGCAGTTTCAGCAGAGACACTAAAAGACTGCAATGATTATGCCTAAACAGGCAAATTCGAACTAAGTGGAATTAAGCTTGGTGCTTGCCTGAGCGTAATGAAATGCATCAAGGGAGGTTGCTGCAGAGGTGATATTTTTTTCCTGTTTTCCATCTCTTCTTCAGACAGAGAACTTTCCATACCCGATTAGATTTTACTCTGAAGGCTGAACCCTGCTCCTATAGTGGATACTAAAATTGCTTCCTTTCAGCTGTAGTTAGGGGGACATTTCTCCCCAGGAAGAGTGCTCAAAAATCTCTTTAATTTGGATTTTCCGATCCTGAATGCACTTCCTTTGCTGAGAGGAAATCCTGCAGTATGCACTCCCTCCGGACGAGAGAGAAGCTCCACACATTACCTTGTAGTGGTCACAGATTTACTGTGTTTTAAAAGTATTTGGTTAACCTGAAATCTGCAATAGACCGCATAATTTACAGTTTACAGTATAAGATCTTTGATATCACCATCATGGAGGGTTCCTTTCATCGAGTGAGCTCCTCCTTGCGTTGCAGAAACACGTTGCTCGTACCTTCTTTATGTTGAATGTGGCGATGTTAAATGAATCAATTAGAGTTGCAACATGATTTTTGTGAGATTAATTATGAGTGAATTCAAGCAAATCCATCTACATTTAGAGCATTTGACAGTATTCACGAGGAATGATGCTTTATTTTACATTTCCCGTTCATTTTCTGCAATTTACCAACCAACCACTTTATTAGATAAAGCTCGCCATTTCTGGCTTGCACCCCTGCTCGAAACATTTTGGGTCCATATTGGCATGACAGCATCACATAGTTGCTGCAGATTTGCTGGCTGCACATCTCTGATGCAAACCTGCCATGCCACCACATCCCAAAGATGTTCTGTTGGATCGAGATCTGGTGACTGAGGAGACCACTTGAGTACAGTGAACTCATTGTAATGATCAAGAAAGCAGTTTGAGATCATTTGAGCTTTTTGACATGGTGTTTTATCCTTTTGGCAGCAGCCATTAGATGATGGGTACACTGTGTTCATAAAGGGATGCACACGATCGTCACTCAGTACTCAGGCTAGACTAAGCTCTGTGGCGTTGAGAGCTGGGACTAAGGGATCTACAATGTGCCAATGAAATATGACTATCAGCCTGAACCATTAATGCAAGGCATGATTGATCCATGCTTTCATGTTGTTTACATCAAATATTGTCGCTACCATCTGAATTTTGCAGGAGAAAACAAGAATCATTAGGATAGAAGCATTTTTCCAATCATTTGTTGTCAAATTTTGGTGAGCCTACATGAACTGTAATCCTCAGCCTGTGGTGTGGTCTTCTGTGTTGTGCATGCAGAGATGCTCACTGTTGCCTTCGTGTCAGTTTAAAGCAATCTGGCCATTGTCCTCTGACATGGACAAGGCCCGAAGAATTGCTGCTCGCTCTCTTTGTTGGAACATTCTCTGTATAAATTCAATTGATGATTCTTTGGGAAAATCCCTTTAGATAATCAGTTTCTGAACGGCATGGCTGTTGGTGCCAGGTGGTTTGCTGTGAGTATTTCAAAATTACTTAAGTCACCTTTCTTCCTCATTCTGCAGCTCTTTTTATTCAAGCTGAACATTCTGAATTTAAAACAGATGTTTTGCACACACATCAGGTGAACAGAACATGGGAGAGGAAAGAAAAAAGAGGATAAGCCACCTTCAACCACCTGCTGAGAGTTTTGAGTTTTTTTTTTTCTTTATTGAGAAACGTGACCAATTTTTAAAAAACATTTTACCTCCTTTTCTTTTGTGTTCTTGTTTGTTTTACATTTATAATAAGCTCTACGTACTATTTTGTCGAGAGACTCCTACAAAGCGAAATCCTTCCCCTTATGTGTGCAGTTCTTGCTGCTTCCTAGAATCCATACATCCCACAAAAATAGGTTAGTTTAAGTTCTCTGTGCTATGTTTTGGCTCATCTTTGAAGCTATGCAACATAGAGCTACTGTTGAAACCACAGTAAGTCACACACCATGCACACTGTGACCCTGCTGGGAGCCTTAAGAGGTTGGACCCAATTGCTTCTGTGTACTACTTTGGACACAACACTACACACAGCAAATTTACTGTCATTTTAAAATCTGCTAGAAGCACCATTTTTAACAAATGTAACAACAATATAACAACTTCCAGTGCTGGAGTGCGTCTGGTGCTTTTACTACAACCTCCAAAATGACACGGATGTTGAAGTCACATATCTATAAAGCATAAGCGTCATTAAGATAAAGCTTTATTGCTATATTGAAGCTGAAAACAGTTGAGATATCTCACAAATAAGAATTTTTTAGAAGAACTCACTATGAAACTGCATCTACATATTTGCCATCCCTTCTTACGGCTTGTGCCAATGATGTTATGCAAATGAGCTACTTTCTTTGACGTAGCCTCTCTTCTCTTTTACTTTTTCCACTGTTCTTTATAAAGTTTTTCACCTGTTTTTTGTTTGTTTCCTCTACCTTCTCTTTTGCTGTCATTTTCTTCTTCTTTATTCCTCTATCCCTACTTCTTTCTGCATGTTTTTCCTCTCTCCTCTTCTCTTTGGGCAATTCAGACTGTTGTCAGATCTTCAAAGCATCACCCCATGCTTTGTTCCTGTGTATCTCCATGCGCTGATGAGCCTTGAATAACATACACAGCCAACAAACCTTCAAACGTGCCTGGCTGGCATCTTACATGATGGGTTGATGCGCTGTGTTGTTGTTGTTAGGTGCTCTTGTTTTCTGACGCAGAGAGAGGGAGAGGGATAGACAAAGAAGAGAGAGGTTTGGCTCTTTCATGCAGTGGGCCTAATTTTGCTCCTTTGTGAAGGGGTAGAAAGTGAGATTCTCTCATGCTGTCTGTGCTCTTGCACTCTCTGGCTGTCGTCTCCTTTTGCCATCTCTTCTTCTGTTTTCTTTTATGCTGCTTTACCCCTTCCTCTCTCTCTCTCTCTCTCCGTCCTTTCCATGTAATTGAAGTCATGAATTCATGCTGAAGGCAGAAACGTCCTTCTCTTAAGTTGTAATTATTTTGTATTATTTATTATTAACAATATTTTATGTACAAATAATTAATTGACATTCATATGAACTTATAAGGAAAGCTTGCTTTTTCTTAAAAATTAGAGCAAATACACATTTAATCTTCAAGAAACGTTGGCTTTTGTGTTGTTTCCTGTGGACTTTTTCAGTTAACTAATCTCTAGAAAACATCCATTCGCTTCCGCTTATCCTTTTCAGGGTCGCGGGGGGTGCTGGAGCCTATC